CTCGGGGAGCAGGCGCCCGGGGCGGCCGCTGGCACCAAGGGGCTTAGGCGGCGCTGAGACCCCACCCGCCTGCAGCCCGCCGGGCGCCGCCCCATTACCTACTGGAGAGCCGGGCTTTCTCGGTCGCCTTAGGCCTTAGGGTGAGACCGAGAGCGGGAAGGGCCCCCGCGGCCCGCCGGCCCCTCCAGCGGCTGATTCTATGTCCTCAACACGGCGGGGCGCGAGTGGCCCCCGCGCTCTCGGGACCTGCACAGTAAGAGCAAGGCGCGTCCATCGCGTCTCTCGCACGTCACACGCGTGGGGCGCGTTGCCCTGCAAGGAAAGGAGACGATGGTTTTCAGTGCGGTTCCTCCCGGCCTTTGGCAATCAGAACACGTCTAATGCGAGTGGCCAGGCCCTCGGACAAAGGCGCAGGCTTCTAAGCTGGGGAGAGACGGAGTGTCTACACTCTCGGTAAGGTCTAGTTCCCGGCCTTTGTCCTCCTTCGACTCATCTATAACTGAGCCCTGCACACCCAGAGGACCCCAAAGGAGCTGGCGGTGGATGGGCAGGGATCTGACATCAACCACTGCTTGGGCCCTCCTGGTGACCTAATACCAGCTCCCTAACTCCCTCCCCCCCGTAAAAATGTCAGCTCAAAGCTCAAAACAGATTCCTAAACCCCAGCCCTACAACCTTCTCCCCAGGCCAAGGCCCATGAGGCTGCAGGCCTAAAATCCCAGTGCATCCTAAATGTAAATCCTGAAGAACTGACCCCTGGATCTTTATTGTCAAGGGATGCTGCAGAGGTCCTTATGTCCACTTTGTTTAAAGAGGTGACTGTACCGACACTAAACTTAGAGACCTATGTCACCGAGTCCTACCCCTGGGGAGTTCCCACTGCTTTGAGGAGCATGGGTTCTGGATCTTACTTCATGATAATGCTCAGATGAAGCCTAAGAAAGGAGCTAGTCTGCCAGAAGTGAGAGATATTAAATGCATGAAACTTTATCCACTGGGAATAGTCCCAGTGTATCCAGATGGTAAAATTCAAAGCTGAAATACATCTCCTTTCACTTTGCATTATTTTAGTATTATTGCCAAAACAAGTGCACGTCTGGGAGGAGAAAAAAAGCCTCATTCATAAAGCATCTTGTAAGAAAGAAATTGTTGCTGAAACAGGGAGTTTGCACCATCCTCCTCCCCATGACCACTCGAAAAGCTGCTGCTTTCCAGCAATCGCCAAAGAGTCCAAAGAAATGAAATCCATTTTAAAGGTGAGGCAATACTGTCAAAATATTGGGCTCCAAGAACCCTTACTCCTCTCCCTTAAAATTCATTTTGCAGCTCCCCACTTCCCCGGAATTCCGTGTTGAGGTATCCGTTAGCAACTAGACTCAAAGCTGCTTCAATCTCTTATTGGCCACTTTTTCTAAATTATTCCCTTTGAGCTTCTTTAAAGAAGTGCACCTGCAGAATTCTGACACACAGGCTTTGATTAAAAAGGGATCGGATTTTTTTTTTCTGTACCTTATAGATTGTGTAGGAAGCCCAAGTCCTCTTTGAAGAAGCTCATAAACCATGCGGGCAAAGCTTTGGAAAACAGAAGAGAATGAAATGGTACATACCCCTCCGAAGGAATTACATACTAATCAACGTATTCATATTGTGGTTTTGTTTTACTATTGTTCTTTAAATTGGTAGATGACACAAAGTATAATAAATGCAAGATGCTCTGTATGCAGATGGTGGCAAGGCTGGTAACTAGGAACGTTTCTGAAGGGAACTGATGATGCGTCTGAATCAACTTATTGGTCCGGATTTTCCTGGGCCACCGGAGCCTCTGCTGGGCCGGCCGGGCCCGGAGAGCTGCCGCCACCGACTGC